CTTTATGTCTGCAACTGCCTCCTGTGTGTTGCCTGTCAACAAGATAAATGTTTAAAATGAAATAAATAAAAATAAAACTCCAAAAAACTATGCAATAAAAGCAATAGCATGGATATCCATCTCCTTGTTTTTTCCTGAGTGCCGCAGGGGATTCAGCTGTGCTGGGCCAAGCGGAAGGGGATCCATCCGTAGCTTCTCTTACGCTAATCACCGGTTTCGTCATGGGTCTGGGTGGGTAGAAGACAGTGGCTATAAATTAGCCTGATGTCTGGCAGATACTACTACCCTGCTTTGTTCTTCAGATAGGGAGATAGATCTTGCACAACCTTTGTTTGCAAGACTTTAGACAAGTCTTGCAGGTAGTTTATAGCTCATCACTTAGTTGGAATGCTTTAGAACAGCCTCTACTGGGCACAGGGGCAGAGGAAGGGGTGGGGTGCTGGCTGCCCCAGGTGTTGCCACTCAGGGGGGTGACAAAACGCCGGGCAGCACTCACTGCAGGGCCTGCAGCAGGCCTGAGCCACACATCTCTCCTGGTAGAGACACTGTGGCTTGGGCACACGCAAGCTGCCCAAACGGTCCACCTGCTGCCTCCCCCCTCCAGGGCGGCTGAGTGGGAGGAGGCAGGCAGACTCTGGAGGCCCCGTGGTGCCCCCTGCCCCTATTGATGGCTCGCATTGCCCCTGGGCGCACCACCATGGGTGCCCAAGAGGCTTCCTCCGCCGCTGATTGGGCAGCTTGGGGTGAATGGGGTTTTAGAGTGAGGGGGTAGTACTTCTGGTGGGGGTACCCGCTACTTCTGGGGTAGCTTGTCCATCTTTGGTCCCCACCCTGCAGTTGGTGCTCACCTGTGGCTCCTCGAAGCTGGGAAACGGCTTCGACTGGCTGGCTAAACCAGTTGAGGGTAGCCAATGGGTCTCAAACCCTCAGTGAGTTCGGGGCTTCTCCTGCATGTGAAGACAGGCTCTGGCAGATGAGGGGATGAGACCAGTAGTGAGTCCAAGATGGTGGTTTTTGCATGTGCGGTAGAGGGAAGTGAGGGGCAGGTGGGGCCCGTCAACCTGGGAAGGCAGCCCATCTAGAAGGAACACGCCTCTGCTGCCTTGTGGAATAGCTTTGGGAGATTAAAAGGCTAAGAAGTAGTCCCTACATGAATCTGGAGTGGACGGTGCCTTGAGTGCCTCCTTCCGCTGACCCCTGCAGCCAAGCTGGTGACAAACGTGCTGCTCTGCTTTCCTTCGGACCTCATCAGTGAGGCTGAGATGAGGGTCTTATCTGGGCAGCCCAGGACCTTCATACCCGCTGCCCAGGACTGCACCCTGGGAAGGTCACTTTGTTGCTGTTAACGCAGCAGCTTGGCTTCACCCCTGGAGGTGCACTCCATTGTCTCGAGAGAGATGGGTGCTCCAAACAACTACTGGGCTTCTTCAAACTGTGTGCCCATTTCTTTCAAAATGAAGTCTGCATTGAAAGACTGAAATTCCCAGCGTCTCACTTTGGGCACCAGGTGGCAGCAGTGCTGTGGTAATTTGGTGCATTAAAAACACACACAAAAGGTAACTGTGGGAATTGGATGAAGAAATCTTTCGCAGGAATTGACAAACTCTGCTTTCAAAAGGAATGTGCGCCAATTATGCACCTGCATATGCAACTAAGCCAAAACAGAAATCCTACGTATTTCTCAGTGCTTAAATAAATATTTATTTATTTTGTTAAGTAGATAAAAGAAAATGGTAGGAGCAGATGTGACCATAGTGATGAAGTTTGACCTGGTAGAAACTCAGCCAGAGTCCCTGTTCTGTAATCTTGAAATTCTATAGGCCTCACTTCAGCACACTCTCATTTGCCATGAAGTGCTCCTCACTTGCAATTATGGAAGGTTTGGTGCATTTTATTTGTAAATATTCTCTCCCGATTTCTGGCTGCATTAAAACCCAGCCTTTCCTGATCGGATTCTATTATTTATTATGTTATATTCTCACTGCCATCAGTGGCTGGTCTGTCCTGAATTATATCCACCCTCCACCCACCCAGTACACATCCAGAAGTGTGCTTACTTTGGAATCAGCACTGCTCATGCACCCAGGCCCTGGGCAGCATCTATATCAAAATGCCAGCCTGTACTTTCTCTGTTTCTAACATTTTAAGCCCAATGGTAAATCCTCAAAGTCAGTGGTTTCCAAACTCCCCTCCCTGCACCCTCCACCAAGAATTGCTCAGAGTCTTGACAGAACCACTGAATGGTTTTTCTGCCTGTTGCAGCAATTGCAACGTCCTGTGCAAGATGTTGCATGGTTCTGAACTGTCTTTTTATTGCTTCTTTTATTTCTGATCTTGTATTGCAGTTTCCATTCCTTAAAATTCAAATACAATACAATACAAGAAATAAAAGAAGCAATAAAAATCAATACAAATGTTTCATGTGGACATGCTGCAAACGAGCCGAGCGCATCTTGTGGGAATTCCTGCTCTTGAATTCCCATGATACAGCGGCAGTCGCTGTTCTGCAAAAGCTCACTGGTGCAGGACAAATGTCCTGATGTTTGAGTGGGTAGTCTCAATCTCTACACCCTTAATCCCACCTGCTCCTCACCTGAGCACAGTTTAGCAATTTTGCTTCCAGCCATCTCAAGCCCCAAACTGAGGTGTTGCTGCATGCCAAAGGTATATGGCTGTTTCAGAGCACCCAGTAAAATGTGAGAGGTTCTCATGGAGAATGTAATCACAATACACATCTATCAGGCTTTTTTTTGGGGGGGGAAGGAACAAAATATTTTGCTAAGCCTTTCATCACTTTTGAATGGTCAGGCTAAACAAACAAAAGCTGCTGTGCAAGTATTTACTATGAAAAAGAACACAACAAATGGAAATGGACATCTCCACCCACCTCCCTCCAAGTCTGTATTTTGCCCACTTTTTTGTGTGAAGCATCATAACCAAGGCTGGTAGTCTTTGCTCTTGCACACTTCCTGGGATTTAAAAAAATGTGTGTGCCCACATGTGCAGAAATAGCGGTACGCATGCTCAGAATGGAAAAAAGTAGCAGAAAGAATGGCCGAAGCCCAAGGAACGGAAATACAGCCAATATACATACCTAGTCCAGGCTTCCTCAACCTCAGCCCTCCAGATGTTTTGAGACTACAATTCCCATCATCCCTGACCACTGGTCCTGCTAGCTAGGGATCATGGGAGTTGTAGGCCAAAAACACCTGGAGGGCCGAGGCTGAGGAAGCCTGTTCTGGTCACTCATGTGGACAGCAAGTGTCAGAGCAGCAATGAATACCACTCGACTGAGGCAGGCATGAGAAAGTGAAGAAGCTTGTGTGCCACAGAGGAAATTGGGGGGGGGGGGGGATAAAATCAGATCTTTGTGACACAGTTGCAAAACAAGGTCCCCATCTAGAAGCACCCAGTGATGACGCCTTCGTGCAATTTGCACTTTCTTGTCAGTGTGGTTAGTGTGTTGGGCTAGGACATTGGGGACCAGGGTTCAAAAGCTCACTCAGTCATGATGCTCACTGGGTGACCTTGGGCCAGTCACTGCTTCCCCGCTTAACATACCTCACAAGGGGGGCGGGTGTTAACTAAGGTGAAGGGTAGAGCCACATACACCACCTTGAGCTCCTTGGAGGAAAAGGTGGGATATAAATGCAAGAAATAAGCTTATGCAAGAAATAAACTTAGGTTTGCAACTGTTTTGGGACTACAACTCCCATCATCCGTAGCTAGCAGGACCAGTGGTCAGGGATGATGGGAACTGTAGTTCAAAAACAGCTGGAGACCCACGTTTGGGAAACCCTGCTCTAGACACTCCCCACCCACCTCTGTGCATGATATAAATGTAATAATAAAATAACACGTAAAAAAGAAAATCAGTCTCTCTCAATTTATACACACACAAAGGTTGTTTGCAGAATCAGTTTGGGAACTGAAGGCCCAACGACTCCTACGCAGGCTTGCTCCATCTTGTAAGGCAGGTGTGCGGAAACTTTGGCCCTCCAGATGGACTACAATGCCCATCATCACTGACCAAGCTGGCTAAGGGTGATGCGAGCTGGGAGTCCAACGTGAGGACCACAGGTTCCTCACCCTTGTCCTAATGAAACATCAGAAGCTGGTGACAGGGGCAAGCTGGGCTTTTTAGAGGTTGCTGATGGGCTACAGCTTAGTGGCAGGGCATCTACTTGGCCTGCATGCAGCATGTGCCCAGCAACTCTAGGTAAGGCTGGGAATGTCCGGTCCGAAATCCTGGAGAGATGTTGTCAGTGTAGGCAAGTGGCTCCTACCACCTTCTCCCCCATGGATCTCTTGAGAATAGCAGAGGGCTGCTTAATGGTTTTATCTGCTTGTTGCAGCGACTGCAATGCCCTGTACCAGATTGATGCATGATTTTTAATTGTGTTTCTGTTGCTCTAAGCAACAGAATTACAATTAGAAGCAGAGAGGAATATTGAACACAGGGATGTACCCTCTCCCATCTTCAACCGCAAAGCCACACACACCACAGGCCACCTGAATGAAGCTTGCAGACCACTGGTGGTCCAATGACCTCTTTGGGGAACCCCTGCTGGAGACAGTATGGAGCTGGATGGACCAATGGTCTCACTTCCCTGATGAGAATGATGCACTTCCCTGTTTTTCTGTCTCTTTGTCCCCTCCTCTGAACTCCTGAAGCCAAATCTCTGCTGCAAAATGGACAAGAATGGGCAAATCGGTACAATTTGCAGAATTTAGTTGTCTTTGCACAGAATGCTGGTGGGTTCCTCCTCCTCTCCCACCAATTAACGTAGCTGTTTTCCTTTAAGTCTCCTTTTACCTGTTACAGCAGGACATTAGCAAATAATAGGGAAATGACACCTTTCTGTAAATGAGTGGACCAAAGAACCCCAGAAATGGCTGAGGCTGATGGGACTTGTAGTACAGCAAGAGGAAGGCACCAGGTTGGTAAAATCTGAGCTGTGCATGGAAAGGTTAATACAAACAACACAAAAGATCTCGGGTTTCGTTCGTTCTTTTTTTAAAATCCTGTCTTTCTTTATTCCTAGTTTGCTCATGGTATACAACTGTGTAAACATCCTTTCGAAATAAAAGCCTTCCGTCAAGTCCGGTGGTTTCATCCCCCAAAGTCTTCAGCAACACTGTTACATGGAAAATTAAAAAGACTAGGAACCTCCCCAAAGGAGATAAAAATACCGTATTCCCCCCTCCCCCCCCCATTCACTTTCTGTACGAAAGAACCATCCTTTCCCCAATTAAGAAGAACATAATCTCTCAAGTCTCTCCTGGAGCCTCTATATATACTTTTTGCTTTACAAAAAAAGAGAAAATTATATATATATATTTATATATATGTTCATATTTATGGAGGGTCACCAATGAGGTTCTGTGTTTTTCGTTTTTCTTTTAGTTTCTATACATATGACGTACATCAGACAGTGTTGGACACAAACATGAGGAAAAGTGTGGTGTGGTGGAAGGGGGGAAAATAACAGAAACCATCACTTGCCTTTTAACTAAAAACAGGTATAATAGTAATAATAAGATAATCGTAATCATTCAACTAACAACCCATACACCTGCCCTCTGACACAAAGCCCCTTTTGTCCAATTGTGGGGGGAAAATATTGAGTGCACAACCCGTTTTTTTCTTTTCGTTTTTCTAATTTGGCATTTCGCAGGCAGAAGTCTTGACGTTTACTGGTATCAAAAGGAAGAGAGAGAAAAACAACGCTCCTGTGTCCTCTTTTTTCTCAGGGTGCCAGGCCTCCTCTAAGTTCTCTTTGCAAAGGGTGCAGCGGGAGGAGGGCTTAGTGGTTCGATACCCGCTGCGAGATGGGAGCCCAGAACGGCTCGGGGGTGGGGGGTCCACTTTTGCAGCCTTCTCGTGTCCTTCCCCACCAACCCTGACAAAAGAGTCGACGGGAGAAAGGAGTTGAAGAAATTGTGTGCAAAAGAAGAAGAAGAAGAAATGTCCACTGAAAAGCGATGCTGTTGGAAGAAAAAAGCAAGCAAGCACAGGCACCCTGATGCCTCCTTGGGCCAACTGTGCCACTGAGCCAAATGCCACAACAGGGCAAGCAGACGTGAGTAGCTGCAGCAATCTGGGGCTGAATTCTGCCGTTTGGAGAGAAAAGTCTGCCAACGAACCAAACTCTAGCATGTACGTGGAGAGAGAGAGAGAATGGGTACTGTGTGCACGTGTGTGTCTGTGTGTGTGTAATACATCTTCCAGTGTGCTACAGAGCCCTTGTGTGTTCGCGGTGTGTCTCGTGTGCCTACGATGCCCAGTTCAACGTCTCCCAAGTCACTGCCCTTTTTCTTGGCGAGGGTCAGCTCAGGCCAAACCCAGGAAGTCTTATCCCTTCTGTCGAGTACCTGGAGCACGGCAGTCCCCGCACGTGGGGAATCGTCCGTCTCGGGACCTTTCCCCTTATTCCAAACATCTGTTGTTTGATTATTTGTTTGCCCGGTTCGGGAAGACGGGGGTCAGGGTTGAAAAACCAGGGTGGCCCCACCGCGTCAGAGCGGTGGAGCGGTGGAGAAGAGCGCAGCCGTCTGCTGCCGCGGGCCTTACAAGGTGCCGTGCTGCGATTCGTACTTGGAGAGGATGCTGCGGTAACGGGTCAGTTCCTGGCGGATGTTGGCCACTTCCTGGCGCAGGACGGCGTTCTCCTTCTCCAGGAAGGCTGCCCGGACCGTGATCTGGTTCTCCTTCAGGCGGCGGGCGTCCCGCGAGCGTTTGGCTGCCTCGTTGTTCTTGTACCGCCTGTTCCAGTATTTCTCGTCCTAGGTAGGAGAAACAAAACGAAACAGGTCAGTGTGGGCTTGTGAAGAGTTGGCTCTCTTTTGGAGGCCACAAATTGCTGTTTATTGTTTTAATAAATCTACTTTTTGTCCAGGTAGCTCAAAGCTCTCCACCCCCGTTGTTCAGTCAGGACACAGAGGTCCATCTCCGAGGGCCTTCTGGAGGTTCCCTCACTGTGAGAAGTGAAGCTACAGGGAACCAGGCAGAGGGCCTTCTCGGTAGTGGCGCCCACCCTGTGGAACGCCCTCCCATCGGGTGTCGAGGAAATAAACAACTATCTGACTTTTAGACGACATACGAAGGCAGCTCTGCTTAGGGGAAGTTTTTAATGTTTTATGTTTTATCGTGTTTTTAATATTCTGTTGGAAGCCACCCAGAGTGGCTGGGGAGGCCTGGCCAGATGGGCAGGGTGTAAGTAATAGTATTATTATTATTATTATTATTATTATTATTATTATTATTATTGCATGATTCCCAGGCGATAGTCCACCTGGGCACTGAACAGGGGCAGGCCTGCTTAGTTCCAGCAGGGCGGCTGTACTACTTGCCTTCATACGGTGTTCTGGACTTATAATATAAGCAAGAAGGGGCAGGAAAGCTGCTAACTTTGATGACATGCTTGCAGGCCTTGCATGTTCCTATGCTAAAATCAAAAGAAAAGAGCAGCAGAGGTATTTCAAGCTGCTTCTCGCTCTTTCTCCTGCATTTCTCCATATGAACCTTGTATACAAATTTAATAAATAATAATAATCTGTCACCTACTAGCGCCCATTCTACAACCAGCATCTTGGAACTGTTTGCATCCCAACTAGTCTTAGTAAGAACTCTTTGAGATTTGGTGCCTGGGTGTGCTTTCTTTCCCCTCCCCTTCCATTTTTCCTTTTGTGACTTATTTTTTAGATGTTAAACTGAGGACAGGAAATGTCTTCTCTTTTTTTTAATACTAAAAAAAAAAGTTCAATAAGGCACTGGGGAGGCTTATTGGCTAAAGAGAGAGGTGCAAATGCTATAGGTCAGGTGTTGGGAACCTCTGCCCCATCAGATGCAGCTGAACTACAGCTCTCCCCCTCCCCAATCCCAGTAAGTATGACTACTTCTCCCGGTGTGGTGATGTAGCACACAGAGGACTGAGTTCGAATCCACCCACAGCCACAACACTCAGTTAGTGACTTTAGGCCAGCTTCTGTCTCTTGGCAAAGTGCATTTCTGTGCCTCTTTCTATCTATCTTTGTATATTGGTGGCAACACATCATTCTGGAATCTCGGACAGAGATTGACGTTCCCCAAAAGAACACACATACTTCTTGAAAGAGCGCGTGCACGGCCATGCATGTGCAAACACACCCTTTCCTGTCACCGCTTGACAAAATATGCATGGACACGCTACTTGCCTTTGAGACACACAATGCCAGACAATCATCCGTACCCGCCAGCTCAGAAAACAGGTTTGTACCCAGCAGTGCATTTCCCAGACAGCCTCTCTCCCGCCCATAACATTGTCACCCTGCAGCTGGCACATGAAAAAACGCTAAACCCCAGAGAGAAATTCACTGTCCTAGCCCTGCCACCCAAACCCCTTGTGGTGGAAACCAACCTTCAGGCAGGCATTTTGGGTCAAAGGCATTACACTGGGGTGTCACATCTGTCTGTCTGTCTCCTAAAAAGCAGCGGCTGGGACCATGGTGTTGTTGGGTTTTCTTGATATTAATGCGGTCAATGGTGCTACTCAGAGGTGTGTGTAATTATAACCTGCATGGCAGCACATCTGTGAGCTTTCGACAATTCAGCACACCTGAGGTATCTTAACAATTTAACTAATTAGCAGGGAGAGTTTACCTATTGCACTGAATGCAGTGCTGTGGTAGGGTAAACTGATTATTTGAAAACTGTATTTAAGTTGATCAAGTGTGTACAGTTATAGAATACTTTTAGGGAATGCTGTTGAGTACTATTGAGGAAAGGTGGTGAGAAGGGGTGTTTTGCAGCTGTTTGATTATTCTTTAAAAACAAAGATGAGCAAAGATATTGCGGGCAAGCTTTTATTCCATCGCCCCAGTCGCTGCGCAAACTCGGTTGGCGCAGATGGCCAACAGGTGCTGGGGGAACAGGGATGTTTTGCCTAGCCTGTTTTCTCAGGCCACATTCACGTTAATGTGTTTAAAACGCTACTTTATTTCAGAAAATAAAAAAATGTTGCGATACCACTTTAAACAGTCATGGTTCACCCCACCCCCCAAAAAAGGAATTCTGGGAGCTGTAGTTTGTTGAGGGTGCAGAGAGCTATTAGAAGACTCTTATTCCCAGAGCCCCCTGTGAACAGGGACTGATTGGTTTAACAATCTCTGGAGATTGCAGCTCTGGGTAGAGCATGCAGTCGAAAATGGGAGGGTTTGGGCAGCAAGCCTAGCTCTGCCCACTCACGCCAGCGCATTCCACCCAAATCTTGTCGAGCGACACATGCCACAGTGGGCAGGGTCACAGCTGGTACACCGTAACCTTGGCTATCGGGTATCAGTCGACAGGAAAGAGCTTAGAAAATGTTAAATAAAATGCTAAGTAGTTTAAACAATATAATAACAAATGCCAATTCCCCAAACTTTTCGATCTTACTTAAAACGGCCCAACCTTTTAAAAAGAAAATTAAAAAAGCAACCTGTCTCCTGTTGTGAAGTTAATGGGCTGCCAGTGGTGAGATATTATGGGAGTTGTAGTTCAACAAGCACTGGAGTGAAACCACACCGGCTGTCCCTGGGCTACAACATTGGGCAAGGAAGAGCCCGGTTCAGGCCTCCTACCTCACAGGGTTGCTGTGAGAATAAAAGAGTTGAGTGGAAGGGGGAAAGAACCAGGAGTGCTGCCTCGAGCACCTTGAAAGAAAGGCGGGGTATTAATTTAACGAGCTGCGATTATGACACTGTTTTGTTTTCATTGCTAAGTTTATTGTTAATTTTTGTTGTGATTTTTTAAAACTTGCTGTTTGCTGAATTTGGATATAAATGGCCAAATTAAAAAAAACCACCTGCACCCAAGCTTTTTTCAGCTACATTGGGGGATGTACGTAGGAGCTTGTACACAAAACAGAGATCAAGGCTCGGGAACCTGTGGCCCTCCAGATGTTCCTGGCCTCCCAACTCCCACCAGCCAGCAGGACCAATGGTCTGGGTCAGGGATGACGGGAGCTGTAGTCCAATAGCATTTGATGCAACACAGGCTCCCCTGTGCATTTGATATTATCCAAGGAAAATCTCTTAAAATACTGTTCTAAGATCAGTGCGTTTTGCGCCTCTCTCACCTTCTGATCATCTGGGACCTGTATTTTCCGTGCCTTTTTCATGATGGGCTGTGGCTTGAGCTCTTCCTCGGAGAACCGATGCTTGCGGGGGTCGAAGGTCTCGTGCCCCGGGATGCTGGACAGCGCCAAGTCGGCAGGGTCAGGGTCAAAGTTCATGAGGACCTCCACGCCCTCGGGGTCCACAGGGCTGGGCGTGCTTCGGGACACAGGTGTTACGGGACCTGGAATGGGTGTGGAGGAAGGAGAAATCCAGGTGAGCTTCACAAATAGAGAGAACCCGCAAGAGGGCAGCAGCACCCACAACAGGCTATCTGCAGGCTGGTCCGCCCCACACTTCCACTGTAACCTCTACGGAGTCCTTTGTACACAAACACACATGCACATCCATATGTTACAGACATTGCATTATGTACATATCCACCCCCATTGTTTTTATTTTCTCTGCAGAGTGTTTCAGGAGGAGGGCTGTAGGGTTGTGTGTCTTCTTGAGAAGTGGAACGGTGAATTGGGGACACAGGGCTTCGCTGCTGCTCAGGCAGCTGCAGCTGCACACATGATGGGGATTAGAGACACGCAGAGGGGCTGGCAAATTTCTGAGGATTAAACGGCACTGCAAGACCGTTTTGGGAACAGCACTATGCAGTATGCGGTGTCCGGCTAGCCACGTGGGCCCCGCCGATCTGTTTAAATGCCTAACAGATGGGGGAACGAGGCATATGAGAGAGCGGATCCAGACAACCATTTCGCAAGTGACAACCGCTTTGAAAAAGCTCATCACGTGCCACCACTTGGAACTGGGAGGCGAGGCAACTCTGGTGGCTTGAGGAGGCAAATGGCCGTCCCGCTAAGCCGCTTGGGGTTGCTAGGGGCAAAGCAGACAAGTACACAAGAGCAAGCCCAGGAAACTCTAGCCCAGGGTTTCCCCAACTTGGGTCTCCAGCTGTTTTGGGACAACAATACCCATCATCCCTGACCCGCTACTTAGGGATGATGGGAATTGTAGTCTAAAAACAGCTGGTGATCCAAGCTGGGGAAACCCTGTTCTAGACCAATAAAAGAAACTTTGCAACTCTCCTCAGAGACCAGGGTCCCCACATCTCCCCTCAACTCAGGTGTCTGCCTTCCCATCATTCTCCCCCCCCCCATCACTAATCTCCACCCTCCGGATCCCTTGGCTCGCATGCCCCGACCCTCAGAAAACTTGGGATATCGAACACCTTCTCCCAAGGTCATCCACCCCCACCTGCCCCCTCAGAAAAGCCAGGAGTCCCACCCTCAACTAGATCTCTCTAAACTCCTATACACTTACCACCTATCTCCCCCCCCAAAAAAAAACACCCGCAGGGGACCCCGGAATCCCCACTCCCTTTAGGAAACATTAAAACCCCTCTTTCCTTGGATAACCTCCTACTCCTGTTCCCATTACTATACTCCTCTCCTTTTGAGGAAACCCACAATCCTGGTTCCCTCTGCCCCCCCCTTTGCCCTTTCTCCTCTTGAAGAACCCAAGAGTCCTGCGGCCCCCCAATATTTCTTTCCTTGGAAAACCAAGAAACTCCAGAGCCCAACGCTCCACTCACTAGGCGCCACACACGCACCCCGGAAAAAACAGGGATTTCTACTTCCCTGAAACACCCTGGAGTCCACACACACACCCCGTCCTTGGGGTACCCCACAACTTCCCAGAGAGAACCCCCACCCGGGGTCCTACACGGAATCCCTTCTTTATGTGGCAAAACCCGGGAATCCTGATCTCCACTCCCACCTCTCCTTGAAGGAAGCCAGAATCTGATCCCCTTCGCTGGACCCCCACCCCTCCAGGGGGAACCCAGGAGTCCTACTCCCGCCTCCCCGCAGAACCCAGGCGTCCTGCGTGGCCGCGCCTCCCTCCGGCCCAACCTGCCCAGCCGGGATAGGCGGCCACCCACAGGCCCACGCCCCCTGCCGCCCCCGTCCCGCGAGAGGCCCCGAAGAAGCAGCAGCAGCACCACCCGCTTCCTCCTCCTCCTCCTCTCGGGCTGCAGCAGCAGCGCCGCCTCTCACACCGCATCCCCACGTGCCCGCTGGCCCCGCCCTGCACCGAGGAAGGGGGCCGCCTGCCAGCTGGCAGCCAGAGGAGCCGAGCCGCGACATGTGTTCGCAGAAGCAGGCCGAGGCACGTGAGCGGGAGCAGGAGGCTCCGTGCAGCAGACACGAGACCGGGCTTCCCAGGCGGGAGCCAGCAGCGCAGGATTTCCGCGCCCAGCAGCAGACACGGGATTCCCCGCAGCCTGCCGCCGCGCCGGGCGGGCGGGCAAGGAGCGCGCCTGTGCACGCGCACAGGCACACGAGAGCGCGCCTCCCCCACCTCCACCCCGCCGCGGGGGTTGGCATCCAGACCCCCCCCGGAATTGTTGGAAAGGGGGAGGACGGAATCCAGAATTCCTGAGTTCTTTTTTTTTAATGCAAGGAGGGGTGGAGAAAGCTGTTGGTATTTGGAATTCATCTGCGTGTCTAAGGAGGAGGAGGAAACCTGAGGCTGTTGGTATTCAGGATCGCTAGGAACGAGGAGGAGGAGGAGGAGCGATCCAGTGGGGGGAGGGGATCGGTGTACGTGGGCAGAAGATACTGTCCAGGACTCCTGGGTTCTCATGGGGGAGCTTCGAGGCGCTGACATCCAGGATCCGTATGTGGGGGGAGGGGATGTACAGGGGAGTGCCCGGGACTCCTGGGTTCTCCCGAAGGGAAAGGGGGGCGTCTAGTGAACTTGGATGGGTTTGGTGACCTCCTGTGAAGAGATATGAGGAGGAGGGGGGGCATGGGTATTTAGGATTCCTGGGTTCTCTGGAACAGAGAAAGTACTGAGTGTCCAGATGTCTGGATTAGATCAGTGGAAAACACTGTACTTGGGTGGAGTAGAGTAGGGTGGGAGGAAAAAGTTGGGGGAAAATATGGGGACATAGGTGGGTGGCCCTCTGTTAATACCCTGTAAAGCTTTATGGTTCAGGGGGGGGGGCACCCAAATTTACCCAACTTACATCTGTGAAAAACATAATTCCTTTGCATTTTACGTCACCTTTTGCCACCAGCAAAGTCTACGCTGCCCACTGCTAGCCTGAGGAGGTACCATTGTGAAGGAAGACCGCTGGTAAGAATACCTTCTCTGGAGTGCTCACTGGGGCCACGAGGGCCCGGATCCCAAGTGTCCCGCTGTACTTCACTAAGGATGGCGTCAAAGTCGTCCCACTACCTTGTTTTCCCGATATTTCTCTCCACAAACCACAAGCGCTAGTCTCCCAACTCTGCGTTTCAAACAAAACCCAAACATCTCATGATAGCCACCCTCCTCTCTTGCGATTTCCCAAATCGCACCAAAAACCACAACTGTAAATGAAAGCAGGAAAGGGACAGTAAGTATTAAATGGTAGCAGGTAACTTTCAGAGCACTGTCTATTTTATTCTCAAGCTTAAACCCACATTAGCCTGCCCTCCCCACGGAAATCCAATGCACACATTGGAGGCAGTAATCTGAACAATATCAGTAATTACTGCAACTCAAAGGGACAGTTTGAAAATATAGTATTTCAGCTTCAGGGAAAGCATCCAGTATTTTCAAGAAGTGGAAAAGTTAGTTTTAGGAGCTCTTGGCAACTTTAGAAGGTGGGGAGCCCCCTCCCAAAATGAAAACACAATTCCCTTCCCACCCAACCAACCATCTCACAAAGTCCAAGTTTCTAAAACACATGAAATAATGAAAGTAACCAGGTGCAGGACCCTTTGGCCCTGCAGATATTGCTGAACTACAACTCCCATCATGACTGGCTGTGCTTGCTGGGTCTGGTGGGAGTTGTAGTTCAGCAATGTCTGGAGGGCCAAAAACCTACAAGCATTAAATTGCAAATCTTTATAACACGCGTAAAGGTAAAGGTAAAGGACCCCTGACAGTTAAGTCCAGTCGCGAACAACTCCGGAGTTGTGGCGCTCATCTCGCTTTACAGGCTGAGGGAGCCGACATTTGTCCGCAGACAGTTTTTCTGGGTCATGTGGACAGCATGACTAAGCCGCTTCTGGTGAAACCAGAGCAGCTCATGGAAACACCATTTACCTTCCCGCCAGAGTGGTACCTATTTATCTACTTGAACTTCAACGTGCTTTCGAACTGCTAGGTTGGCAGGAGCAGGGACCGAGCAACTGGAGCTCACCCCTTCGCAGGGATTCGAACCACCGACCTGATCGGCAAGCCCAAGGCTCAGTGGTTTACACCACAGTGCCACCCACGTCCCTATAACTCTTATAAATAGTATAAAATTGCACCCCAAAGTTTTCTCTTTAGTATCCTAGCGTACCCATGAAGCTCTCATCTGAGGCAAACAACTAGGTCCACACCTGTATAGCTTCAGAACTGCTGCAACCTTCCTTCTGCACTCTCTGCAACAAAAAATGCATGGAGGACCCTCTTGAAATTCTTAATACTTGTGATCTAAACTGGGTAAAAACCATCTGATCTGCTTCTACAAACTAGGAAGGGACTAAATCCAAACAGAGCAAAATTTGCTTTTATTTTCTGCAATGGTGTGTTTGTGTGTTAAACATCTGCTGCAAACAGAATTATTTAACCAAAATTTAATGGGGGCATCAGACAACAGGGGACTAGGAAGGAGAAGGGAAGTGCAATTCTTGCAGCAGCCTGAAGGGGGCCACTGGTATTGCCACCACAACCCAGAGAGGCTGGGATTGAAAAACTATTTGCAATCAGGGAGGAGATTAGAAACTCAATTTTCTCTGCAACCAGGGAGGGAACATGAAACTGCCCTCCCAAACAGGGAGGGCTCTAGAAACTGCTCACTCCTCCTATCCAAAGTGGTGTGTGCTCAGAGGTATCCCCCCCAATATATATATATATATCCAAATAGGTAGGCTAAATTTTGCACTTGGAGTAAACACTGCACACTTTGCATAATTTATTCCAAGGCATAACACAATAACTAATTATGTCAGACAAATAGAAAGAGAGACTGGTGCACGTAGCCTGGAAGCAGGTAGCAGAGGAGGTGGGAAGGACAGGAAAAAGGCCGGAAGGGAGAGAATCAAACACTCATTTCTCGCCTGCTTCTCCACTCAAAATCTCAGCCTCCCAAGTCTGCTTTTCATTTTGTTCCATGCACTTCTGTGTAACATGTAGTTTGCCCTTGACCTTGAAGTGAATGGGGTACTACAATATAACCCTTGTTCCACTGCAGCCACTATTAGACTGTAAAAACACCTTTTAGCCCTGTAACCCAAGAGCTATTTCACAGAGTCAACTGAGTGTCTCCAGAATGGGAGCTGCAGTTCCCATCACGACTCTCTTTGCATACATACAGCTAAAACTTAATAGGTGTGCAGCTCAGAAACGCGGGGAGCTTGGAGCGTAAACAAAGTTATATGAAACAAGGGAAGGGTGAGTTGATATTCTCACAGCTCCTTCCAAGGGGAGGAACGACAAATGCCAGCAATCACTTCGACTCCCATTTCCCCACCACCACCCTCACACCCAAAGTACAGCACAGTTTACCTGTCTGGCTGCTGCCGTGGTGGTCGTAATCGCTACCCACTAGGCCTTCGCCAGACGAGGAGCAGATGGAAGATGACGACGCGCAAGAGGCTGGCCGGCTAAGGTCCACCACCACCCCGCTGGAAGGCGAGGCAGTGGGCTGGCTCCCCGGCGAGAAGGGCTGGTGAGCTGGGCTCGGGGGCAGCCCGTTTTCCAGCAAAAACTCGTCCAAGTCAACATACTCAATCTCGTTGTAGGGCAGCGTGCGTTCCCACAAAAGGGAGCCCAGGTAGGCGCAGTGCCCAGGCCTCGAAATGCTCAGGTCGTCCTCCATTTTGCGTTCCTTGTCTTTGATGACACCTGCAGAAAAGGGGGCAGGAGGAGAAGCTCAGGTTAAGGAAGGTGGTTATGGGATGAGAAGCATCTAGGGGCAGAAACCTAGAGGCCAGAAGCCAAGAAAGCGGAAATCTACGAGTCTTCTGTGTGTGTGTGTGCAGGTTTTCCACAGCACAGGGCCAGCGGAATAAAGGAAACCGATCAATGTTACATGGAAGTGGACTGGGGAGATGGATTGGGAAGATGGACAAAAGGAGGAAAATCATCATTCTGAAGTCTGTAATTGCCGTAACTTTGCAATTCAAAGTGTTTTGCAAGGTGAACAGCAATAGATTCCACCGCACAAGGGAGGGTGAGAGATCAGCAAGACTTAATGTTTATGTACATAGCTGTGTGCACTTGGAATACAACACCCAGCACTGCTGGCATGGGGAGCTTCAGGCATCCCTGGGCACGCGCACGGGTGCAAAGTGCAAAAGGCCAGAGTGTCGAGGCAGTTGATTCTAGTCTCTGGGCTTGGCCACCTTCTGAATCCAGACAGCCCCAGGCAACCCAGGACAGAGTAAGGGGGTCCTTGCCATCTGCCTCTCCCAAGTAATCGGGTATCCAAACATCTATCTAACTGCACATGGCTTCGCATTGCATTTGGCACTTGAGTGTGGGGGTGGCTGCGTAGACAACACACATTTAAAGCACACCACTCCCCCCCCCCCATTAACCCTGGGAATTCTAGCTTATCTCTCGCAGAGCTGCAGTTCCCAGCACCCTTCAATCACGGTTCCCAGGATTCTTTGGGTGAGGTCGTACGCCTTACATGTGTGGTGGGTGGGTGTTCCTGCACGGGGCTCCCAGGTGTGTTGATCACTTCCTTACATTCTCACAGCCCGAGGGCCCAAAGCAGACAGAACAGTTCTGCTCCAATATAAACTCTGCACGGTCCTCCTCTACGGGTGCAGGCAGGCAGGCTGTGCAGGTGGGTGGGCAAAGAAAAAGGACAGGCTGCCAATGAGAGGGCCAGATGGCTGGGAGAGATGCGTGTTGTGGGGATGGGTGGCTGCAGCATGCGGCAGCCGGCATCTCTGAGCCGCGGAGGCTGCCGAAACCTGCCTGGGCCCCATCCCTATCTCTCCAGCCCTAGAGGCCTGCATGCCGTTCACCAGCAAAAAAAACGTGAGCGCTTGCCTCACCCCAGATGACCCCATGCTCAGCCACGCTTGATTGGGCTCTCGCTCTCCCGCGCCCTCGGAGCTCGCTCACCCATCTGCCTGCCTGAATCCCTCCAGCTCGCTCCTCTTTGGTCTAGGTGGGGCGGCAGCCGCCGCCGCCGGGTGACCCTGCTGTGGGCATCAGTGTGGGGAGGGAGCATTTGGTGCTCTCTGGGGGGCAGATCTGACTGGCATCTTCTGCGCTGGTGTTGAGAAGGTGCCCATCACCACCACGCAGGGGATGCCGCAAGGACCCCGGTTGCTAGAGCTCCCCTCATTCTAAGCTCACTAGGTTGTGTTCCCATACCAAAGGACCCAGGGGCCATATCATTAGATTTGCTCCCCCATAGTGCTCAGATTACAAAAGGAGTCCAGCCTCTTTTGCAATATATTATTATTATTATTATTTTCTTATTATTATTAACAATAATAATAATAATAATAATAATAATAATAATAATAATAATAATTGTACCCTGCCCATCTGACTGGGTTGCCTGAGCCACTTTGGATGCCTTCCAACAAATATAAAAGCATAATAAAGCATCAAATCTTACAGAAGATCAGGGTAGAAGGAGATTTAGCTAAGGTTGGGAGTGAGCGGGCAGGAATCAGGGGACAGACTTGCAGATTTCCTTTTGTCCCACAATTCCAGAGGTCTTCAGCCGGGAACTATTTGTTCCAGCGGGTTGCCTCCATTCTTTAACCAAGGCCACCCTCTTTCCCATGCACTTGGGAAGAACCCACTGCCACCTTCGCCCCCTCCACCCCTCACTAGCTCTCTGAAGGCTTGAGGGCTCTTGTGGTTTACAGGCCAGCATTCTCCTGGAGACGCCCCACCCCCCTGCACGAGGCTCAGGCAGGCTTGGGAGTGGCACGCCATACCTGAGCCCTGACTCTGCCTGGACACGTGGGAGAGAAGCCCGGGCCCAGCTGACACCTCCTGCGGTGACACCAGCCTGGCACCCCGAAACTGGGCGAGTCACCCGCAACGCCCCACAGATCAAGCGAAGCCTGTGCATGGCTGCCTACTGCGCAGCTCCCCAACCCTGGGCAGCTGATCCACTCCAAATCCACCCCAGACAACCCTCTTCCACTTTTCTTCCAATGAACCCCACCCCCAAAACAACTATCACCAAAGAGTCGGAGCGACTCAGACGATAGGCTATCCGAGATTCAGGTTCAAATCCTGGCTCAGCCATTGGAGTCACTGGGGCCGCCTTGAGCAAGTTCTTAATCCTCAGTTATCCTCATCTGTAAAATGGGAATATTATTAACTACCTTGTCAGGTCTATTGCAAAGATAAAGGAAGCAGTGGAGGAGGGGGAGATATTATTCATGAGGATTATGAGTTGTGAGGAACATGACACAGGCAGAAATACAACTGTTGAAATTATACAATAAAATATACAGAACAGTGTAGTAAATGAATTGAACTGTATTCATTTTGTCACCACTCTTAACTTTGCCCCTCAGTTGTATTAGCTTCACAAACTTGGTCCAAAGTACTCCTCACCACTTCCTAGTATTGTCCCCCGCCCCGTAATCTTTGAATGCCCTCCTCCTGCCACAGTCAATATTATCCAAATGATATAAAGCTATATTTGGAGTTATAAGTCAAATATTCAAAGCCTGGGTCCTTTATTTATTTATTGAATTTATACCCCACCCTTCCTCTCCAAGGAGTCCAGGGTGGCAAAACAAGATAATTTTTTTTTAAAAAAATCCAAAACAGATAAAAGCATTCCAAAATATGATTACAATCAAAAACATATAAAATCAGTTTAGGAACCAATCAAAGAGGCTACCAAAGCTCAAGCCTCAGTTTTCCTCAACTGTGAAATGGGAACAACACTCAGCTTTGTGGAGGCTGTTGTGAAAAGGAAAGCCACCTGCAAGTTGCAGAACGCACCAGGAATAATATAATGAAATTGCATCTCTATCAGTCTGTGGCCAGTGGCATGTTTACTCAGGTGTAAAGCCAACGGGCATTCATAAAGCTTACTTCCATGTATAAACAACCAAGGCTCCCCTGACACCCGAAAGGATAAGACATTTATTGTGCCCATAAGCTTTTGCGGAGCAGAGTCCATTTCTGTGTATCCGATAAAACTGATATCCACAATAAACTTTTTAAAAGGTGCCACAGACTACTGTACTAACCCTTCTGGAAATGAATTGCTTCCAAGTAAAACGTGCTCAGGATCGAGCCGCCCAAAGCATTGGAGCGTGGTCATTAACAACATCAACAACCTCAAAGTAACCAGGGTCAGGCGAGTTTCTCAATGGCTGGAGCCAGCAGGAGCCTATTCAAGCAGGACATCAGTTTACTTTCTGTTCCGAAGAGGAATGATTGACATCCAGCTCTAGGCGGAGAAGCAAAACTCGGTCCTTCTTTTGGGTGGGTGGGGGGCAAACCTACAACAATAACACTGGGGTGGCCAAGACTAGTCAGCACCCAAACAAATCTGTCAGAGTGCCCGTGCACAAACACGTTTGTTTATGTGTGTGTGCGAATGGCACCCTTGCAGGACGGGTGGCAGGATGCCCAAGATGCAAGACCCCCCCCCAAGATATATACACTCTGCCCATCTTAATGCCGGGCACCTTCCTGTCAATAGAATCAAACTGAAATAAAAAACCTGAAACAGTCCGAGATGCTCATTTGCTCTGCCTGAATTCACAGGAAACCCACCCCGGCCGCAGGGTGCCAATCACCCCCCGCCCCAGCGCGCGCAAAAAGGGCCCGCAAAGATACCCACCGTCCGTGTCGGTGTGTCCGCCTCCCATCTTGTCCGCCGGCCAGAACCCAAATGCCAGCTTGCAGCTGGCAGCTTCCTCGCCACCCTGGTGCACCTCCCTCTTCCCCTCTCCCTCCGTGGGGCGTTGACCCCGGGTGGCACCCTGGGTGCCCCTGCGATGTCCTAGCCGCCGCCGCCTCCTCCCGCCTTGCCCTTCGCTGCCCGCTCGCTCGTGCGAAAAAGTCTTGCGAGAGTGTTTCCCGGGGCGAAGCGCCACAGCAGCGCCCGCGCGCACGTTTCGCTCCCTCCTGCTGCGTCCCGTGGCCAGGCTGTGTGCAGCTTTAAGGGATTTACTGCTGCCAGCCAGCAGATGCGAGAGTGTGTGTGTGTGTTTGGGTGAGTGTGTGTACGCGCACGGGAGGTTGTGCGCATGTCCAGAGACACCGCTTGGTGGATCACCCTGGAAAACCCTAGCGAGTTGGCACCTCTCCAGCAGCAGCAGCAGCAGCAGCAGCGAGCGAACCCAGGCGTCCGGGCTCCTCAAAGCTCCCCCTCCCCTCCCGATCCTCGGAATCCGGGACGCACGCAGCCTTCGCACTCAGCACCGCATTGCCCGACAGAACCCAGGAGTCCTGGGCACCTCGCCTCTCTGTCCTCCCCCCTTCCAACCGCTTCCCCTCCCAGAAAACCTGACAGGCCTTATCCGTCCCCTCCCCAGCCCGCTCTCTCTGTCATTGTTTTGCTTAGATCTATCAAAACCGGCTGCCCATCTTGCCGAATACCCAAGGGGCAGAAAAGCGATCGGGGATTGAAATGCACACGCACCACAACGGTAGGGGCAATTGAATTATAATAGAACTGTGAAGTTGGAATGGGTCCCAAGGGTCATCTAGCCCAACCCCCTCCAACACAATATTCTTTTGCCCGACAATGAGGCTTGAACCCACGACCCTGGGATCATGAGTCTCATGCTCTACCCGCTGAGCTATCCCACCTATAGAAGTCCCCTGCCTCATATATCTAGGAGTCCTGGCCCCCAAACTTGTCTTGCCCCTAATGCCCCTCCTTCTCCTCTCCCAGACATGCCAGGAGTTCAGGCTCCGTGGCTCCTCCTAAATCTTGCACCACCTAAGGCATTTACCTTCTTTCTCCAGAGCGCCTAGGTCCCAGGCCCTTCCTGCAATAACTAGATTTCGACCTCCTTCCAGATCTTCCGTGGCATCCCATCCAGAAGTAAACATGGGTCTGTCCCTATGCATATGTGGGGCCTACACGAACCCCTTGCATGGGGCCTTCCCAATTTCGAATGAATGCATTTTGATTGGAACTCACAACCCAGGAGAGGAACATTTCACGGATGGAAAGAATTAACAATGCCGCATTGGAAGCAAACACATTCTCTCTCCCCCCCCCCCCCGCAATCGAGATGGAAAAGCCCAAAATGAAAGCAAGTTGGATGTTCAGGCTCTGAAGGCCATCTGGATAGAAGGGGAGGGAGGACAAGAGTATATAAATATCACTGCATATCATTCATAGGAAGGACTTCCCTTTCCAGGGGCCCTGAGTCTGAGCAGGTCTTTGCAACTCACAGATTTTGTTATGGTTTTTTGTTTCTTAAAAAAGAAGGAACGAATGGCTCAATTTTTTTATATATTGTATGAGCATTGGACAAGTGTGTGCAGGTTGGGACCTATAGACAGATATAAGGCAGGTGGATGGTGTGAAAAGCCAGGTAGACAAGGAAGCAGCTATAAGGGGGGCAAATACAGGTTGAGAGATAAACTATGGGGTGGGGAGATGGATGGGGTGGCAGGTGGAGGGACATTTATGGGATGTATTTAAAGACTGAGCAGACCAAAGCTTATGTGCCAATAATTCTGCTCATCTTTAGACTGCCTCAAAACTCTTTTTTCCACTGAAGGCAGACATTTATGAAATGAAATGGCACAGAAACGACAGAGAGGCCCGGACTAATATTATGGGATGCCTGGGAGATGTATGGAGTAGAAGGATGGCCTCTATGGTAGCCCAGGGGAGACATGATTGGCTAGGCAGACTCCTATGCAAATATGCAAATCCTGCCTCTGCCAAGGATGACAGCCCTGCCTCAGTAGCTTCCCTATCTGTGAAATGGGAATAAGAGTGACCCAGCCGTTTCAAGGGCAAACTCTGGGGGAAGATTCTGCAGTGCCCTGAAGATTAATACAAAAAACACCAGCAGCAGCAAGAAAATGGATGCATAGAGGAAATACGGAGCTAAGTACATGAATATCTACACTTAGGGAGAGATGGATAAGCAGGCAAAGGAGGAACCAGGTGGAGGAATGATTGCATGGGAGGATCGAAGAGGTATCACTCACATGAGCCCAGGTCCTTGGCCCCTCGGCGGTCGGGACTTTTGACCGGTCCCTGAAGGAGGCTCTTGAGACTGACCATCGCGGAGCTCGGGGTGGCTAGTCCCAAAGGAGGAGAGGCGAGCATGGGGCTAGGAGTCGGGCTACTTTGGGTGGCTGGGCGGGCCATAGCGAAAGCGGCAGCAGCAGGAAGATCTAGGAGGTGCCCACCGCTGAAAATTGCTTTTTTCGCCCTTCTTCTATGGTGTCGAGCAGGGGACAGCGAATAAAAACAGAAGGTCCTTGTGGAAAACAGCAGCAGAGACCCCCGAGGAAGATTCACCGATTCGATGCTCGACTGGAAAAGGAAGTTGAGGTGTAGGTTTTGGGGTGGGATTTTCTATTTTATTTTAAAGGAGGAGGCTGTCTTCTCTCTCTCTCTCTGCTACCAGCCTGGAAACAAGCCTCCGGAGGGGCAGGCGATGGCCCCCACCTTGCCTCACTCCGATCCAAATTTAGCAGCCAACCGGCTCTGAGGAAGATCTCCCCAAAAGATGGGCAAAGAAAAGAAATATATATATATTTATATATATATTTGCGACGAAGTTATTGGAAATTGTGGAACGGGGTGGAGTAAAGAGTTCCTAAGATCCAACGAGATTTCCCTAGGGGAACGGGAGGGTTGTATTTCCAATCTTGCTAGAACAAAATTATTTCCCCTAGAATTAAAAGTCACCAGCTTTCGGCGAGCTTTAGCAGATTTAAAGCGCCAAAGGAAAACGGAAAAGTCAGCAAATCCAAAATGCCCAGGCGATCCCTTTTCTAAGGATCTCGCAGTTGGAGCAGCGGCAGCGACGGGTGATCTCCGCTGCTTTTTCTTCCAGTCAGATCCTAAATAGGCTGGAAGAGGGATGTCCGTGATCTATAAATGGGGAGGGGAGACCCCGTCTTCTCCGCAGGCAGTGAGGGAATCCGAGTGTGGGGAAACCTCTTCGCACCTTCCTTTTATTAATCAGTATTATTATATTATAATAATAAAAATAAAGGGAAACCGAAAGCAGATCCTGCCGCTTTCCTGAATCCTTCGCTCCGGCTTTCCCCCAAATGCGAATCTACAACCAATTTTTACATATAAATAAAAATTGCTCCAGTTACTTTCCTCTAAGCACTTTGCAACTGTCTTCGGGTCTTTCCCCCCTCCTTTTGCAACATTCGAAGTGGGAGGAGCCGCGAGGGCCCAATGGGCGGAGCTAAGGGCGCCCTTCTCTTCCAATCGGCAGCCCAACAGCCCGAGATTTGCAAACACAGCTCCCCCGTCCCGCGCCCTTCCCGTTCTGTCATGTGCGCCTGCCATGGGGCAGGTGGGGCTCTGACCTAGATTTGGCCAATAGCAGAGCAGCAGATGGGAGGAGCCTGACCCAGTTTTGGCCAATGGCGAGGCGGCGGGAGGGGGAGCAGGAGACTGCTCGGGATTGGGAGCACGTGAGCAGGCACGTGTTGCTGGTGTTGTGATGAGGGAGCGGAGCAGAGAGAAAGTTGGGTCTTAAAGGGGCAGCGAGGAGGACACGGGAAGGTGGGTGATCCCTGCCTAAAGCGATCACAGGCTCAACCAGGAGCCGGGGACCTCTGCTCTTTCCTCCTTGCAGGCTTCTTGCCTCTGCTGCTCAGAAACACAATTGGGGCGGGGAGGAGGGGAGTGAAACATCTCACCAAAGCACCTTACCCTTTGCAGAGCATAGGAATCCAAAGGATTAAATCCTTAATGCCAACACGCTACAAATCTCTATATAAAAGTATAGTTGTACAGTGCGTTACTCTACTCAGAGTTGATCCATGTAAACTGATGGGCATGCACTGGTTTCCAGCGGGTCTGCTCTTTCACTGGCAGCCTAACAGCAGTGAGATGTGCAGAACTAAAGCAGGCTCTCGCCAGAGCTGGCATTCTGGAAGGACACAGAGCTCGCTTCACACACAAATGGTGAGCTCAGCCTTTCTGCTCCAAAAATGCCCCATGTGGAGCTGCCAGGTTTCATAGCAAGCATTTCCACAAACACACCTCCCAATAATGCACATGTGGCTTTTCCTATATTGGTGCCGCAGAGTGTGGAGGTGGTGGGAGGGAGAGGGAGCTACATTTTGTGGAACTGACTCTATCGGATGCAATGCTTCAAAGCCTAGGAGCCTTCTCTTTACTGCAGAGAGAGGCTGCTCTCATTGGTGCATAACTGCATGTAAAGCAACCGTCAAAAGGCACAGCTACAGAGACTGATTTAAAAGTTGGCAACCCTCTTGAGGCCGAGGAATACACACATACCAGAGAGTGTGTAGAAGAGGACACTAAAAAGTCAGAACTTGACAAGCATTGCAGTGGTACCTCGGGTTACATACGCTTCAGGTTACATACACTTCAGGTTACATACTCCACTAACCCAGAAATAGTGCTTCAGGTTAAGAACTTTGCTTCAGGATAAGAACAGAAATTGTGCTCCGGCGGCGCGGTGGCAGCAGGAGGCCCCATTACCTAAAGTGGTGCTTCAGGTTAAAAACAGTTTCAGGTTAAGAACGGACCTCTGGAACGAATTAAGTACTTAACCCGAGGTACCACTGTATTGAATCATTAGGATCTGTACTTGAACATAACCAAATATCTACCCCTCATAATTGTGGGCAGAACAAGAAATTATGTAAGTAGCACTAGGTGTGTTGTGTGTGTGTGGGGGGGTATCTTCAGATCAAGGTGCTTCCGCTTCCCCAAACCCAGCTCCTCATCTTTCTGCTTTTAATATCTCCCTTGTCCCTCTCCCCAACCTCTCAACATTCTTAAACAAATTTCCCAAAGCTGCAACAAAATGCATAGAATGAAAAACAATTTCAAATTCTGCATATGCAGACGCACCTTCAAGAACATGACCAATAAGGAAATGCGCAAATCAAATTATTATGTGCAAAAATAAATGAACATCATTTATTCTAACTGCAGATTATGGTTGGGGGAGGGGGAATCTGGCATTTTTACAAGTGCAGAATTCAAAATCCTCCTCATGTACCTTGAATGCCACACAAAATGTGCTTATCAGTGAGAAGATGCCACAAATCTTTTGGTGCAGTCTCTTCAGAATTGTAGCTCTGTGAGGGGACATGGGGGGTGTCTCCTAACAATGCTCAGCACAGGATTCCTTTGGGGAAGCCGTGGTTGTCTAAAGTGGTATGATACTGCTTTAAATGTATAGTGCAGATGGGTCCTAAATTTGAACCTGGGCCCATGCCCCCAAACTTGTGCACAAAAATGGAAACACTTCCATCCCACTGAATAATCACGAGAAAGCTGTAAATTGGGAATTAGGATATCAGTTTTCCAGCATAGGCTACAACCCCATAATTTCCTGTATAAAAATTATATTTGCACATCTTGATTCCACTTCTCCTACCCAGTGTGTGGCAATGGCAGACATAAGCAGTTGGAGATGCTTTAAAGCAAGGAGGAGGATCAATGGAGCAGCTGGCCTAGCTGAAAAGGGGGCCTGGTTCTTTCAGGAGGGGGAGAAGGCCACTGTCTGGGGCAGGGTCCTTAAGCAACTTCAGGATCTGAAAAGAGAAGGAGATGCAGATGTGAAATCAGCTACCCCAACTATGCTTTACTATAGGGGCTACCAACTATGCTTTCTTTCAGAACCTTCTTCCGAGGCAGCCCCGCACCCTGGCCCCACAAATCTGGTTGCCCTCCAGAAGCTGTGACTCCAACTCCCATAAACCCCAGTTGGTGTGGACATTGGTCAGGGATGATGGGAGTTGTAGTCCAACAATATCCGGCAAGCTCCAGATTAGAGAAGGCCCTAAGAAGGAAGAAAACAAGGAAATACAGTAGAAGCAAGACATGCTCACCACTCCTAAATAAGGCAGGCCTTGGCTGCCTATCTTCTCCATGCCCTCATGGCCTGGCAAGCTGCTGCCCCAGGATTGGGTCTTACTCACAAAATCAGGGCTTGCCTGAGTTTGTTTCACAGCTTGTTAGCACAAGCACTGGGGTGGCATACTAATGCGGAACCTGTGGTCCTCCAAATCTTGTTGGGTTCCAGCTCCTATCCTCTTTGATCGATGGGAGCCGGGCTGGTGTAGTGGTTAGAATGTCGGATGGTGACCTGGAAGACCAGGGTTAAAATCCTCCCCCAGCCATGTAGCTCACTGGGTGACCTTGGGCAATCTCTGCCTCGCAAGCAGAAGGTCCCAGGTTCAATCCCAAAAGGCATCTCCAGGTAGGCTGGCAGTGACCCCTGCCTGAAACCCCAGAGAGCTGCTGCCAGCCAGTGTGGACGATATGGAGTTAGATGGACCAATGGTGTGACTCATACTGACTTATACTAAGGCAGCTTCTCACGCTCCTTGCAGGTTTCTTGGTGGGGATTAAATGAGATGGGGGGGGGGGAGAATCATGTGACCCCCCTTGGATAAAAAGTAGGCTATAAATGCAATAAACTAAATGCTCATGTTGGCTGGAGATGATGGGATGCTGTATCCTGGCAATATCTGGAAGGCGACAGGCTCCTCTCTGCCTGCCTGCCTGCCTGCCTGCTTACTTTGTCTATCCATTATTTCCTCCCTGCATGGTTGAAATTGTAATGGTAAGCTCCTAAGTCAGGGAACTGTCCCTTTCCCCCTTGAAAACGATGATGACGGCAATTCATTACTATTAAAATTACTTATTGCAGTCGTACCTTGGTTGTCGAAAGGAATAAATAATAAACATTATTTATTGTTACTATCCTGAAATAACTCCTTCTTTATGCATGAGAAAAGCCTTGCAGAATATCTTGGGTCATCCATAGGCCACCTCTCTGGGACTGTGAACTCTGCCTCCCCTAAGGAAGCAAGGCTTGCTCTTTCGAAAAGAAGCCTTGTGATTTATTGTGACATAAGCTTTCATGGTTTGGGGCCAAGCCATCATCAGATGCATGAAGTGTTATCTTCTTTTGATTGCTGTTTCATTTATATTTCTCACGCGAGTCTGAATATTGAGGTTGGGGGGGGCAGGGAAGAACGGTGAGCAAATGGGCCAAAAGGCCACAGCTGCAGAAGATACCATCAGTCACATTTCTATGCAAAAGCACAGAAATCACTTGCAACAGCAGTAACCGGCAATAATATTCCTAGCTTTGCTGTGCTGATTTCACCACCTGCGCTGGGGAAAGAGAACCCTGATCTCGACTAAGCCTTAAATGTATCAAGTCAAACTTGCTGCTAATTCTGGAGCAGGAATTGTTCCTAGTTCTGCTCTTGGGAATCACTTATTTAGGAAAGAAGTGTGAAGAAGTGTGCATGCACACGAAAGCTCATACCAAGAACTAACTTAGTTGGTCTTTAAGGTGCTACTGGAAGGAATTTTTTTTGTTCAGGATATTAAACCATGCCTTGAGGCTCACTTAGTATCCTGGCTGGCTCAGAAACTGTTAAAACCAGAGTTTCCTGATTCAGACGTCACAGGAAACTATAGCTAACTGGAAAAGTTCCCGATTTGTTCGCTCCCACAACAAAGGGAGGCACGAAGAAGTATGTCTGCAAACATACAAGTCTTGTTCCTATTTCAGCTTACTGAGCATAAGTATAATAATCCAAACAAGCTCATATAGTGGAGGAGGGGGGCAGGCTGAGGGGCGCAAAGGAGGCTGGGAAATTACCTCTTGGAAATAGGGGTGCGCAGCATCTCTGACCAGTTGCAGAATGAGCCCTTCGCTGGTGGTGAGGAAGGCACCGCTCTGGCGTAATCTGGACAAAGCCACAATCCTGTCCAGCTGACTGGAATCCAGAGGGGAAAAAGAAGACCATATAAGGTATACAAGGGGGGAGGAAAAGAGCCCTTTCCTGCCACCCACTGGGACCATCCCACCAGTCACCTGCGGGAAGAGCAGGCATCCACCACTACGTGAACATCCAGGCCTCGTTCCATGATGTCCAATGCTGTGTTCTGCACCCAAAGAGAAAAGACACCGTCAAACTCGGGTCAAACGCACGCCTCATTTCAACCATGCTGTCACCCATCCAATTTTCAGATTTGTTTTATTTCAAGGTTCAAAGTCACGTTTAATCACTCAACAGTTAAAATCCTTATTCTCTCATAC